AATACATATTAGTAATTAAATAATTTATAATTATTATAATATTTAATAACCTTATCTTTTCTCTTTCTCAATTAAAATTACATAATATTGGTTTTAATTGTCATTTAATTATCCTATTAATACGTATTAAATAATTAATATTATTATAATATTATAACCTATTTTTTAATTAAAAATTATCATAATTTTGATGTTGATTATCATATTAATATGTATTATGAGTTATCTTTTAAATTAATGATAATATATTGAATTGTCATTAGTTGCTTATTACTATACTATAAATAGAGAGAGCTTTTTGAGGTTTGGTAAGATTTTTTTTTTAATTTCAATAATTCTTATACAATTTCTTTTCGACATTGATATATGTTTCCTTTTCTAATTTATATTACTCTATAAAATTAGGAAAAGTTTGATAAATAAAAAAAAAAGCAGTTTATACAAAATTATCGTTAAGAATGATATATGTACGGTTTATACGAAATTATCGTTAAGAATGATATATGTACGTCTATGATTGAATTTCTATTGTCCATTTTATTTTATTTATTTCATTATTTTTAATACCGTCTAAGAAAATTTATTAATTCAAAAATAAATTAAAGTCAATGATTTTTAATATATATTTCATTTTCTTTCAATTTTATTATAGACATTAATTTTTATATAATTAGTCTAATGTTTTGATTTTGAAATAGATGTTCTTTAATTTAAATAAATTTAAATAATTTTCAACAAAATTAACAAATATGAAATTATCAATAATTTAAATTATATATTTTAAAATATTATTACACTATCTCTAAGATAATAGATAAGATATTTATTATGCATAGGCATGCTGCTAGTCTCCTATATTTTGATTCAAATGCAATTAAAATCATTTTCTACATCTTTTTAGTGGGTAATCAGGCATTAGTTAGATGGTTATTGAACAGAAAGTAAACAAAATGAAGAATTTGTGTATTTCTCCTCTATCATCAAAGTCAGTACAATGGGTGCTATTTATATTTACAAGTGTGATGTATTTCCTTACTCTAGAACCTATTGTATTGTATACTATCTCATGTAACAGAATTACAGCTGTACAATATGGGTTAATGGGTTAGTTGGATTTGTTACACGGATTCGGGTTAAGTGAAACAGGTATGGTGTGTGGGTTTAATATAAATACAAAATGTTATGTTTTAGTTTTAGGTTTTTTAGGGTTTTTCTGATTTTGGTTTAGAACGGCAGCTTTCTCGATTCTTTTCCTTTTTGCTCTTACTACTTGCATGTTGGCCCTTAGGCTGTTCATACTCATTTCACGCTCCCCACCTCAAGGTCGGACTGTACGGCGTTAACGAAACCAAGGCCCACTTGACAGTCTCAGCCGAAAATCTAGAGATGGCGGTAACAATTTTTGGTTGAAGAAAGTTAGCGAGTTGTGGGACTCTGAAGGGAATGCTTTGGGTCGATAAGGCCAGCTTGAAGTATAGGTGTCGGAGTGACGATGGCAGTCTGATTGTCGATTATGCTTTTTCGCTCGTGATAAACAGGGGATTGGCGGCAATTGCAGGCCACCGCTTGGTTGTTCGCAGAATAAAGGTACTGGCGTTTTTACTTTACCCGACTGGCGTTTTTACTTTTACCCGCAGATCTATTAGTATTTTGTCAATCCAAATGATTTCGCACACTATATTAGCCATGGCTCTGTATTCTGCTTCAGCAGAAGAGCAACTGACCACCTGTTGTTTTTTTATTTTCCATGACACGATCGAGGAACCCATGAATATACAGTAGCCTGTGAGTGACAGTCAAGTTTCAGGGCAAGCCCCCCAGCCAGCATCATAGTATGCTTGAAGATCAAGCGTATATGAAGTAGAGAAGAACAATTTCAAAGCTGTTGTGGAGGCTAAGTAATGGAGAACATGAGAAGCAGTTACCATGTGACCCTGACAAGGGTTTTGCATGTGTTGAGACAACTGCCGTACTGAGTAAGTGATGTCTGGTCTGGTGAAGCTCAGGTAAAGTAGTCTCCCCACTAACCTTCTGTAACAGTCTGGTTCTGTGAGTAATGGTCCCATGTTTGCTTGAAGCTTTTGACCTTGTACTAATGGCGTGGATGAATGTTTTGCTTGCCGCATGTTTGAATCTAACAGCATGTCTTGAATGAATTTCTACTGTGATAAGTAGATGCCATCAATAGACCGTAGGATTTCAATTCCCAAGAAAAATCTTGCATCACCTAGGTCCTTTATAGTAAATTTAGAGTGTAGAAACTCCTTAATGTTGCATACAAGTTGAATGTTAGGCCCAGTAACTAAAATGTCATCCACATAGACAATAAGCACTAGATGTTAGGCCCAGTAACTAAAATGTCATCCACATAGACAATAAGCACTAGAAAGTCACTATCTTCCCTTTTTGTGAATAGGCAGTGGTCATTCACTGACTACTGAAATCCGTACTAGAGCAATGTGTTTGTCAACTCCTGGTTCCACATTCTGCCAGCTTGCTTAAGTCCATAAAGTGACTTAGTCAATTTGCACGCTTGGCCTGTAGAAGCCTTAGAATAGCCAGCTGGAGGTTGCATGTAGATATCTTCATCAATATAGCCATGTAGGTAGGCATTGTTAATATCAAGTTGATGAAGAGTCGATTGATATTTAGCTACTAGGGCAAACAGGATCCTCAGAGTCACCATTTTAGCAACAGGAGAAAAGCTGTCATTGTAATCAATGCCCAGTTTTTGACTAAACCCTTTAGCAACCAGGCGAGCCTTATACCTGTCTACAGTCCCATCCTATTTGTATTTGACTCTGTAGACCCATTTGCATCCAATGGCCCTTTTCCCTTTAGGTAACTTAGTTAAGACCCAAGTACCATTGTCTTCTAAAGCTTTTAGTTTAGTTTGCATTGCTTGCACCCAATTTCACCCTTTTCATTAGAAATAGCATGATTATATTGATAATGGTTCATTGGGAATTTTGTTTATGATAATGGTTCATGAATTTTGTTGACATTAGATGCAAAAGATGCATATGGATGTGAATAGGGTGAGTCGGGTAGGAAATGTGTGGAATTTGAATTTGCACAATTGGTTACATAATCTGTCATCCAAGCTGGTTGCCTTGAATTTCTTATGCTTCTTCTAAGTGGTTGAACTGGTTGTTCTGGTTGTAAAGTCTGAGCAGTTTCTGTCTGGTTATTTTGTATGTATTGTTGGTGTTCTGGTTCAGGTGTTGTTGTAGTCATTTGTCTTGTTTGGTCAAGGGTAGTCATATTTTCATATGTTGCTGGTATTGTGGTTTCAGGTATAGTGTTTGTGTGTTTTGGAATTTGTTGGTCATTGTCATCTAAAAAGTCTGGTATCTTAAATGTACATGACTCAAGAGGGGTGTTGTGATGGAAGGGGTAAACTGTTTCCTTGAACACAACATCCCTTGAGTAGAAAATCTGCTTAGAGTGCATGTCATATAGCTTGTAACCTTTCTGTTGAGCCCCATAACCCAGTAACACACATGGTTTAGCTCTAGGATCATACTTGTCTTTGTGTGGTTTAGTATTGGTTGCAAAACACAGGCAGCCAATAACTCTTAAGTGTTTCAGGTCTGGTTGTATTTGGTTTAGTTTTTCAAAAGGGCTTAACCATTCTAAGAGTGCGGATGGCACTCTATTGGTTACGTAAACATTAGATAGGAGAACCTCAGACCAAAAGGTCTTAGGAAACTTAGCTTGAAATAGAAGGGCTCTCCCAATGTTCAAAATTTCTTTATGTTTTCTCTCCACTCTCCCATTTTGCTGTGGAGAATAAGGGCAAGATAGTTTATGTGTAATTCCTTTAGAAAGGAACAATGTCTTTACTACATGATTCACAAACTCAGTGCCATTATCAGTCCTTATTGTTTTGATTCTGGTATGAAACTGGGTGTCTATTAGGTTAGTAAAGTGGTCAAGAATTGAATGGACTTGTTGTTTATTTGGTAACATGTAGGCCCATGTTTATTTGGTAACATGTAGGCCATGTGTATCTATCTATAGTCATCCACTACTATAGTCATCCACTATAGTAATCATGTCTCTGGCACCAGTTAAAGAAGTGATAGGATAGGGTCCCCATAGGTCAGTATGTACTAAATCAAACATGCCTTTAGCAATATTACAACTTGGATAAAATGGCAATCTTTGTTGCTTTGCAAGAGGGCAAACACTACATTCAAAAGAACCACTGTTTGTATCTAAATTTATTAAATGATTTTGTCTAGCCATAGAAATATGACCCAATCTAAGGCCCATAACAGTTTCAAATGATCATCATGTTTAGTACAAGTAAGTAAAGCTTTAATAGTAGTAATAGGTACAAAACACTTCTTATCAAGAAAATATAAGCCTCCATACAACTTGCCAATAGCTACTACTTCATCAGTCTGCAAATCCTATAACAAACAATGGTTAGGTAGTGTTTTCACTGATAGTGCATTGTCCTTTGTAAGGGCTGATGCAGACAACAAATTGCATTTGAATGTTGGTATATATAACACGTCATTTAATACCAGTCTATCATGTATTATGACCTTGCCAACATGCGTTATAGTTCTTGTGGAGTTATCAGGTAGAGTTACTGTTCTAGGTTTAGGTAATTTGGTTAATGTATGAAATAGATTATGCATGTATGTCATATGATCAGTTGCACCAGTGTCAACATATGATCAGTTGCACCAGTGTCAACAATCCATGGTCAGTTGCACCAGTGTCAACAATCCATGGAACTAATTCATACTTATCATGCACATTATAATGAAATGAAAGATAATACCTGCAAAACTGACTGCATTAGCTGTAGGTGTATCCCCTGCCTTATCATCATACTGCATCTTGCCTTTGATTGCACGCTGGACCTCCATTCTCACCATTCTGGATACATCATTCTCATTGTCTCTTGAGTTAACAGTCAATTGTTCATCATCTACTTGTCCATAATGTGCTTGAGCTTTCTTCTTCTTTTTGAGTTCAATAAATCAGTCTGGATAACCAGTTAGTTTACAACAAGTCTCTTTAGTGCGGCCAGTCCCATTGTAGTGATCACAGTGCTTGTCAGCTTTAGATCTGGATCTATTACTTGTATTTCTGCTGTTGTAGTTTGATTTTTGCACATACATTGCACTGCTATTCTCACTTGAGTCATAGATTGCAGTATTCACCTCACTTTGTTTTTCAACACTTAGTACCATTGAATAGGCCTTGCTCATGCTTGGAAATGGATCCATAAGCAGAATTTGATTTTTAACATTGTCATATGTATCATTCAGTCCTAAGAGGAACTGCATAAGTTTCTCCTCTCCATCCAGATCTGAGGCTGCTCTCACAACATCACAGGTACACCTTTCTGCAATTCCACAGGTGCATTTGGGAATGGGCCTTAAACAAGCCAACTCATCCCAAAGTTTTTTCAATTTAGTGTAGTAATTGGCTACTGTTTGGTTACCTTGGATAGTTACTGAAATATCTTTCCTTATTTGGTAAATCATAGGTCCATTAGATTCACCATACCTGGTGGTCAGTTCATTCCAAAGATCCTTGGAACTTGGATAATACAAAAATGCCTCAACTAGATCTTTAGAAATAGAGTTCAAGATCCAAGATGTTACCAGATTATCGATCCTCTGCCATCTCTTTCTCAATGGAGATCTAGCTGCAGGTTCCTGTTCTTCACCAGTGACAAATTCATATTTGTCCCTAGCCTTCAAGGCTATGGTCATAGATCTGCTCCATGACAAGAAATTCCGGCCATTCAAGGAAATATTAATGAGGTTTTATTTGATCCCTAGCCTTCAAGGCTAAGGTCATAAAGATTCTGCTCCATGACAAGAAATGTCCGGCCATTCAGGAAATATATTATGAGGTTTGAAGCTGAATTTTCAAGATGCACGAAACCCTTAACAGTCTCATGAATTTCAACATTTGTGTTTTCATTGTTTTGATTATAAGTTTCTGCCATTAATTTCAGGAAAGGAAGCTTGAAGAAAGCTTTAGAACTTCAGATATCAGAGGAGGCTCTGATACCATGAACAGAAAGTAAACAAAATGAAGAATTAGTGTATTTCTCCTCTATCATCAAAGTCTGTACAATGGGTGCTATTTATATTTACAAGTGTGCTATATTTCCTTACTCTAGAACCTACTGTATTGTATACTATCTCATGTAACAGAATTACAGCTGTACAATATGGGTTAATGGGTTAGTTGGATTTGTTACACGGATTCGGGTTAAGTGAAATAGGTATGGTGTGTGGGTTTAATATAAATACGGGTTTAATATAAATACAAAATGTTATGTTTTAGTTTTAGGTTTTTTGATTTTGGTTAGAACGGTAGCTTCTCGATTCTTCCTTCTTGCTTTGCTGCTGATGTTGGCCCTTAGACTGTTCATACTCGTTCAGTTATGAAGAGTAAAGTACATCATTCTGGAAAACTAATGGACTCTGCTATCACCAAATGGGAAATTAACCATTTGCAGGAAACAAACTAAATTAATTAAAATTCAAATAATTATTAAAAGAAAATTGATCCAGAATAGATAAATTCTTTACTTGATTTTTGTACTTATTTGTTTCCTTTAATCTTGAACCAAGCCTTTGCACACGGTTTGTGAGCAGCAGCCAAATCATATTTACATAAGCAGCCCAATTCAATGGGGACTCCTGATTCATGGGTATTGCCTTCCAGACCCAAATGGCAAATCCTACAATCTCTCTCTACCTTAGCCAAATGCACTTTTATCTCAACTACTCCATTACCATTTTCAATCTCCACTTCTACAGAGTAATCAGACACAGAAGATAGCCGCTTAGAATCCAAAAGAAGACCGTCGGTAATCTCAGGATCAGATACACAAGCAAAACCGTAATCGTTATAAGAGCCATCCGTCGTCGAATAAAACTGAGAGTAGCAAGACCCATCATCTTCTGCATCGGAAAAACTGGTCCCATCACTTCCCGCGATGCAGCGGCGGTGGCTTCCCGATTGCAAATCGACATTTGACATCTCCGGAGCTGACATTTCTAAATTTTTAGGGACTTGGGTTGTTTTTGTCTTCTCTTTTTTGGGTTTAAAAGACATAGAATCGAAGTATTTATAGTTTGAAGCTCTGAGTGATTTAAAGAAGTTAAAGAAATGGGTATTGGATTAGGTGACTCTACAACTCCATTAATGCTTGCTTTCGCTAACCAAAATCAAAAGCTTTAAAAAAAGAAAAGAAAAGAAACTTGCTTTCGCTAACCAAAATCAAAAGCTTTAAAAAAAGAAAAGAAAAGAAAAGAAACGAAGAAAACAACCCAACAAATAATAAGAAAAAAAAAGAAATTATTGAAAAATGATAAATGGGTCTTTAATGGTGTAAGACAAAGACTTGTGCTTTTAAAGATATAATCAGTGAAAGATACCTAATTGTAAAGTTTTATAAATTTAAATAATTAATTATTATTGTTTTAGATGAGACATCAAAATAAAAAAAATGAATAAAAGTTCAGACAGTAAAAATATAATTATCTCTACTTTATTTGTTTTGTGTTGTCTCCTATATTTCGCAATTCTACTTTCATTTTTTCCCTTTTGATTTTCGGATCACTTTAGCCTTAGTAATTAGTTAGCCACCCTCTTCTTGTCACCATTACTTGTCTCAACAGTCGATTTCGATCAATTTAGCGACTTCAGTAGCGAGTTTAGAAAGTGAGAGAGAAAGAGAGAGATCCCTGGTTCTAGATCGCCGGTTGGAAATCAATTTCTCTGACTCATTCTTGCATTTTGGTGAGCAGTTTACTCAATCTTCTCTTTCTAGTGGTACAAATTCCTTTACTTTATTTGAAGCTTAAAGGCTTGACGTGAATTAGGATAGCTAGGGTTCCTAATCTACTGTTCATGCAAGTAAATGAGAGAAATCTTGATTTATTTTGCAAATTGATACTATCAAACAAATTCTTCAAAGGTAAATTTAAGTTGAGAAATTAAAAGATACTTTGATGTTAATTTTTTCTGTCCCACTTTTTAGTTGCATAAAAAACCAAATCCTTTCATGCTCAGTTCCGTCTCCCAAAAAAGCCCAATACAACATAAATTTGGCAGGTGTTTGAAGATTTAGATATTTATCTCCACTTTTTAGATATTTATGCTCTTTATTTTTGCTAGTTGTCCCTTAAAATGACTCTTCCCTTTCTTTTCCCACATCAATCGCAAATTCATTTCATTTCCTTTCAATTTTGAGTCTCTCTCCACCACTCATGGCATTAAAGGATAAGGACGACCTCCCTCTTTCGATGACCCACCATTTTTGTTTTGTTTTGTTTTGTTTCTTTTTTTTCTTTTTTTTTTTTTTTTTTTTTTTTTTTTTTTTTTTTTTTTTTTTTTTTTTTTTTTGGTTTTGCAGAGTTTTCAATGTAATTTTTGGGAAATTAATTGAAAAATTTTATCAATTTAATGATGTAAGTTGGATGAGTGGCTACCAAAGTGAGATTCCTCCATTTAATTGGGAGTTTAATGGTGTTTAATTGACTTCTATTGGAATTGATTTCTCTTATTGGTCATGGAGAATCATCACAATGATCAAACTAGTCTTTTTTTTAAGTTTTTTTTTCATGTATTTTTTCGTTGGTTTGATGTTTTTCACTTTGTAACTTGATGACCATCCGTTAATTTGTTTCATAAATTTTTCCGGTAATAGCGCGAACATCTTGATAGTCAATTTTACAAGTGCATAAAATTATAACAAGTAATATGGTAGAGAGCAAATTATCTTTTCTTATAACTATTGTATACTAAATATCAAATTTATATTAAGTTATTATTATTTAAACGATAATTAATAAAAATCTTTGAAACATTAAAAGAAAAGAAAATTATCTTTTCTTATAAGTATTGTATACCAAATACCAAATTTATATTAAGTTATTATTATTTAAACGATAATTAATAAAAATCTTTGAAACATTAAAAGAAAAGAAAATTATCTTTTCTTATAAGTATTGTATACCAAATACCAAATTTATATTAAAAATTCAAGGATTGGAAACTACTAGGAATTTCGACTTCAATTAATTTTATTCAATTTATTCCATTAGCTCGCTAATCTATTTAATTGTTCATGATAACAAAATAACCATAAAATCATTAATAATTTTTTTCAAGAATTTTATTAATTATTTTAACCTGATATATTCAATTACTTATTTCTCAATAGCTATAATCAAATATTACATCTGTTCCATAATACTTGTCATATTTGAGAAAATAGTTTGTTCCACAATACTTGTCACATTTATAGTTTCAAGAAGTAATAAATTTTTTTTCAATGTTTACCCTTTGTATATGATCAATAAGTATTACTCAAATTTAATGGTTTTTTTAGAGATTAGTATTAAATTAAGGGTAATATAGTTAATTTACTAAATAATTTATTATAACTTAGACAAATTTAATGGTTTTTTTAAGGGACATAAAATTCCAAATATGACAAGTATTATGGAATAGAGGTACTATAAATTAAAACATCAAGATCAATGGCTATTTTAGAAAACCTTCTGTAAGTCAAATGCTAACTTTCACATTAGGTTGTTATTCTCATAAAATTTGTTACTCCCTCCATCTAAAAAAAATAGTTCCACCTCTTTTTCACACAAATTAAGAGTGGGTAGTTAAATTAGTTCAACCATAACATTTATTCTTCTTTTTTCATATGGATAATTGTTGTTGGCTCAAGTTGATCCTAGATCATTGAGCACAAAATGTCCAGTTTATCCTCATATATCCATGCAAAATGTCATTTATGTCCCCATTAAAAATTGATAGAATTTATACATATTTGAAATTTGAATTTCAAATCTGTAACTCTCTTCGTTAAATAATCCTATACAAAGCAGCAAGTGGGTTACATTCCCCAATGCACATGCTAGGCTTTTGTTTTCCTATTATTAATTGTTTTCCTTTCATTTTTTTTATTTTTATTTTATATATATATATTTTTTCATCTCAAAAAAAGTCTACCATTTTCATTGCTCTCTTAATTCTCCGTAAACATTTTCCTCTTCCTAAAATGGACGCTTATTGCAGCAAAAAAAAAAAAAAAAAAAAAAATTTATATGGAATTTAATACATACTATAATGAAATAGCTGTATGGAATATTGCAAACACACTCTGTAACAACCCACCTCCTTCCGTTGAAATAAATCTATATCAAGGCAGCAAGCTGGGTTTACCATTCCCCAAGTGGGCACCATGCTAGGGCTTGAATGTTTCGTCTTATCGCTATTAATTAATTGGGTTTTCCCTTTCATTTTTTATTATTTTTAATTTTATATTATTTATTATTTTTTTCGATCTCAAAAAAATCTATCCATTTTTCATTGGCTCTCTATTAATTCTCGTTAACATTTTCCTCTTCCAAAATGATCCGCTTATGTGCACGGGCAAAACAAAAAAAAAAAAAAAAAAAAATATAAAGGGTTTTAATGGGTAGGTTTTCATGGGGAAATAAAGCCTGGTGATAAATAAATTTCGAGCATATAAGATTGATATAAGGGGCTAATTCAAATTCTCCAGCGATAATGTGATTGGATTAACATAATTTAAGGTTGAAAAAAAAAAAAAAAAAAAAAAAATCAAAAGTTTATGTAGTTTTTCATGAAATAAAGCCTGTGATAAATAATGCGACATATAAATTGAAAAGGCTAATTCAATTACTCCACGATAATGTATTGGATAACATAATTTAAGTTGAATATATAGTAAGCTCACTAAACTTATGTAATGGATGATAGTAGTAGATTTTTGAAAATTTTGTTAAATGGACAAATGATTTAATAGCATAATCTAGTACTAATATAGTTTGAATGATTTAGATACAAATAATAATGCATGTTCCTTTCATGATATATTTTTATATAATTTTATATGACAAATAATACAAATGTGTTATTCCAATTAGGGTTCATCAATACCCACAACAAATGTTATATATTAGTTGTTAGGGTTAAAATGAAAGGGTATGTGCTCTTAGCTTGGATGGCACATGTGCAGGCTGCCTGACTTGGTTACAAGGACTGGTCCTAGGATAAATTCCTCTATGTGCCATTTTGAATATACGGAGACAACTAAGTTGCTAATTATTGGTTTTGGTAAAAATTTAATGCATTAATGATAAGTCATTAACATTAATCTTTTTTCTTATAGCATTAGTGATGATGACTTTACTTCCCACCAAAACTCATCTACTTTCCCTCCCATTTATCCCTCCAAAACCACCCAAGGTTATAAGTGTCTTTTTGAATGTCATGATCCAGGATCATTATGAGCCATTTAACACTGCCCTTTCCATATATATTCCTATATTAATAATGTTTCGATTAAATTTTGGAATTGTTTAGAGTTTTTCAACAAAAATTTAACATCTTGGCACATGTTTCAATTATTTTATGTTTACATTTCACTAAATATTTAATAATTCTATGTAAATTAATTATTAACACAAATTATATTACTCCCTCCGTCTCAAAAAGATAATCCATCTTTCTTTTATGGTTTGTCCCAAAATATAGTCCATTTTTCTTTTTCGCATTATAGTTAATCCTTACATTGTCTATTATACCTCTATTAAATTTTATCTTATTTTCAATAACCCTCATTAAATTCTTACCTATTATTCAAATATAATATTGCTCATGTGTTATTTAAGATGGATATAATAGAAAAGTTATATAAATGAAATTGTCCTTCAACTATAATAATTACTACTTTTTTAATCTGTGTAAAAATAGAAAGTGGACTATTTTTTTGGGACGGATGAAGTATAAAGGTATTATAGGAAAGTTAACAAAAGACTATTTCAAAAAATGAAAATGAGACTATTATTTTGAGACACCCATTAAGGAAAGTGAGACTATTTTTTTTTTAATGGAGGAAGTACGTTTTTTTATCAAAAGTCTTTCTTTCGGTAGTAATTATTGAAATAAATCAATTCAAAGGATAAACTCATTTTGTAAGCATTACGCACCATAATAAGTTTTATTATTAACAAAAAAAAATCAAATCTAATAATATAAATTGAATTTAAATATAAGTTATATCAAATCCCTAGTAAAAGAATATTAGTTGAACATCTTAGAGAAATCGAACTCAAACAAATTTGTAATCAACATAATAAAAATTGAAAATAAAAATAAGAAGATTTTAAGAATAAAACTCGGTGATGCTTCACTTGCTCCTTG